CGACTAGGATAGTGATGCATAACCCTAGCCGCCAGCCCCTCATTCTATTTATAATTAACTTAAATATGGGATATTACAAAGATGCCCCTAGTAGGGTGGCAACTCAACTAAGTACTTACAATTCTTTTAAAAATAAAAGACTAATGGGCCCAAGGCCCAACAACTTCTTAATTTAAAAGTCAACAAACTAAACATAAATCGGTCCAACATAAATCAGCCCACTGAACAGAGAGGAGGAAGAGAAAAGAAGAGAAGAAGATTTCGAAGGAAGGATTTCAAAAAAGAAGAGGATGCTTAATATGCCGCCCCCCTCTTTCTATTTATATTAATTCTGAAGTAAGGATAAGACTGCTTACATGGCAAAATTAAAATCCTAATAAAAGACAACAATTAAAGTCATAATAAAAGACTAAAAGACTAAAGTCCTAGTAAAAGACTAACAACTAATTGTGGACTGATACTTAAATTACTAGTAGTTGTATACGAGTACAATAGAAAGAGGTGGGGACCACATCAGTGGTTTCTACAAAGGTTTTCTAAAGAGAAGAGGCTAGGTGCAAGTGGATTAAATAATGAGACGGAAGCTCCAAATTCTTTTCAATACTTACTAGTGGAAATAAAACAAATAATCCATCCAATCTTTTAATTGGTAGTTCATGGAGCCAATATCAAAACTGGAGGAGATATGCACTCTAGGACCACTCATCCCTGGCTCGAAGGCTGATTGTGGAGGGACTTGAATGTGGAATATGCATCTTGGTTGGAGAGACCCTTTGCGGAAGAAGAGATCAAGAAAGTTATTTTGGGTTAGAAGAATATTAAGATCTAGATTTAACAAATTCACCATGGGCTTCTACTAGGTGTATCAGGATATTGTCAAAGAGAACTCACTAGGTATCTTTGAAGATTTCCACTATAATGGCATTATCAACAAGAACATGGTTCTACATTTGTACTCTTATTCTTAAGAAGACCAGGGAGCTTGCAAGGATCTTAGAGTGTGGGATTAAAAACTGTCCTTTGGAGTAGGGCTGCAAGTTGGGCTGGGCTAGGTTGGGTTAAGGCCAACCGTAAGTTCTAAACTCCCAACCCTAATCTTAATCCAACCTGACCTACCCAATCCTAACCGTAACTAAATTCCTTCAACCCTAACCCAACCCAACCCGAAGTCAACTTCAGGTTGGGCCCAACCCAACCTTCTTCCTATCCCTTAAAATCTCGCAGAACTTTTCAATCTCAGATCTTAACTCAATTTTCAGTACATATATTAATCCTATGTTTTATTAGTGTTTGTTTGTTGATGTTTTTATTGGTTCTTTTAGTACAAAATTTAGAAAAAATAAGTGTTTGAAATGACTATAGTTTATTATGACTTATGATAGATCTTTTATGGGCAGCAACTAGCAGAAAGGAAATGAAGAATAAAGTATTCCAAAAACATAAAATATGTTATTAAGGTATTAATCTTTCCAAATAGGATTAAGTGATTATCTTAAAAGAAAGACATGATAGTATGTGGTGGGGGCTATACAACTATCATGCATATAAACAAATCAATGTATGATATATCACATATGCAACATATATTTATATATGACATGTACTATAGAGTCGGGTTCAGGTTGGATTGAGTTGCCCGAGGGGCAATGATTTAAAAGGCATGCCTAAGCGCATAGGCGAGGGCATTGAGGCGCATTCTAGGGTAGGCACCTTGCCTAGGTCATAGGCACAATGCTTTCAAAAGGCGCATGCCTGGTGTGCCTAGTGCGCCTTGTGCCTCAGCCTAGGCGTGCGCCTTGTGCCTCAGCCTAGGTGTGCACCTTTTGAAAATTTGACGCTTTTTCCTTTTTTTGAGTCTAGCAGTTGGGCTTGTTTGGGCTTTTTTTGGACTTGTTTGGGCTTGCCTCGAGGGGTGTGGCACAAAGGAGGCTCGTAGAATTAGGAATGTAATGTGTCACAATAGCTACTTGAAGTAATGTAATTGAGAAAAAGAGAGATTGTGGGTTTTATATGCTTGAAAATGTTTTATATGTTTGATTTCATTTTTAAATTCTCATGTGAATATGCTTTACATATTATGTTTATGTATTTTAATTTTAGATAATAGGTTTTTTAAAACATTTATTTTAAAATTTAAGTTTATATTTTTATTAATATTATGATTTATATATTTTTTTTTTATTTTTTTGAATTTTTTAGCATTTTTTGATTTTTTTTTTAAATTTTTGCGTGTTGCTTAAATAGGCGCGTGCCTCGTCTTGTGCCTTGTGCCTTGTGCCTTAGGTGCTAATTGACCCCTACGCCTTTTTTATTGCCTTGCGCTTTTAAAACACTGCCGAGGGGTCAACCCTAACCTAGCCCGAAGTAAAGTCGGGTTCATGAATTCCAACTCTAACCCTAACCCAAGCATCAAGCCGACTTTTTCAGGTTGGGTTAGGGTTAGGTTCAGGCTAACCCGGCCCAAGTTGTAGTTTACATTGGACTACTTGTGCTCCCTTTGGATGGAAACCCAAGAATGGAAGGCTTTTGGAAGCCTGTGGTGGAGAGGTTTGCTAAGAAATTGGTATTATGGGAAAGGAATTTTATCTCTCTAGGTGAAAGGATTATTCTAGTTCAGTCCAAAATGGTTAATTTACCTGTTTACTTTCTCTCTACCTTCTGTATGCCAGTAAAAGTGGCAAGGCTATTAGAGAAATAAATGAGGGATTCTGTTTGGGAATTGAGGGAGAAAGATCATTTGATAAAATGGGAATTAGTATGTCTAAGAAACATGGTAGGCTAGGGATTGTTGGGAATTTGATTCACAAAAATACAGCTTTACTAGGCAATTGGTTGTGACGTTGGGTGCTTGAAAGAGACAGGTTATGGCATAAGGTCATTGTAAGTATTTCATGGTGCTATGGACAATAGTTGGGACAAAAAGGTGGCCTCCTACTTCTTCAGCATCCCCTTGGAAATCAATTCATGATGTACTCCCTACCTTCCTACATCTTACTAGATATGATGTGGGGTGTGGGGAAAAAGTCCTTTTCTAGGAGGATCTATAGTTAAGCAAGTTACAACAGGAAGCTATGGTTAAACAAGTTACAACACAGCCCAAAACATATGTTCCCTTCCCACCCCTTGCTTAGCAAGTTCATCCGCAAATGAGTTGGCACTTCTCTTTATCCATTGAAGCTGAATCTCTACACCCTGAGTTAACCATTTGAACTCCCTATTTTTCATTAGCATATTTCCATATTCTGTTTGTTTCCTTTATGCAACATTCTATAATCACTTTAGAATCTCCTTCAACAACTAACTTTTGTAAAGTCAATTCCTTATCCTTCTTTAACTCTTTCAGTACTGCCATGATCTCAGCTCTAAGAGAATCCCCCACCCCAATAACTTACCTTTCCTCCTCTCTGAAAGTTCCTCCAATACCTAAAGGTCCCAAATTACCTTCACTACTCCCATCAAAGTTCAATTTAATAAGTCTAGGAGCTGGTGTAGACCAAAGGGGGCTAGTTTTCATTTGAATTGGTGCTGAATTGGCCACTTCCTTCAAATTTCTAACCAACATATCTATAGAGATATCTTCAAACATCTCTTGCAATTTTACCCATTGCACGACCTAATAGTTACAGCTTCAATTATAGCCTCTTTACTTATTCCCTTTTCGGAAAAAAAATCTGAGTTCCTTTCTTCCCAGATCGTCCAGAAAATGGCAGCCTGTATACATCTCCACATTACTCTGCCCCTCTTTAACCACCTAACAAAGGAAGAAGCAAATAAACCTTGTATACTTGATGGGAGAATAGAATCCACCTGCAACCAAACAAAGAGAAGAACCAATCCCAAATAGCAGAAACAAAGGTGCAGGAGATTAACAAGTGGTAACAGCTCTCAAGTTTCACCATTGGCAAAGGAAACACCTATTAGGGGATAAGAACCAAGTAGATCTTTTCCTTTGAAGCAAATAACAAGTATTGCACCTTTATTCCTGGGCAAAAAGCATCTGGGGTGTATTATTATAGTGATTCAAGAAACAAAGCTGTTAGAAGTTGACCTCAAATGGGAAAAAAAAAAGCATCTAGGGTGCTGAAAACAAAGAATTGAATTTACGATTCTTCTTGGGGAACACCAAGTAGAATATTGATCATCTGGGATGTGGATTGTCTAGAGGAAATAATTAGAAATTTCACCATCTCCCTTAAGATGGGGAATCTGAACAATATTTTTGAGTGGGTTCTATTGATTAAAAAAATAATAAATAGAGTACTCATAAAAAAACAGTCAATAGATTCTAACAAATGTTTATGATCTGTTGAATATATTAGTTTTTAATCACTTGGGTATTTTTCTAATTTCATTATCTTCCACTAGCAGGCATTTTCTTCTTGTTCTTCTTCCTCCCTTTCTTCATCTTATCTCATCCTAATCCTCCCCTACTTGGTAACAAGGCAGATCTATTCTCTTGATATCTTCTGCTGTTGAATGTTTGAGCTGAAGTCCCTGCTGACATTAGCAGGCCATACAATGATGTTAGGTTTTTATTTATTTATTTTCATGGTTGGGTTTTTAACTTGTAGTCAACTCTATATAGTTGGGGCAAGGCTTAGATGATGATGATGTTTTTATATTGCCCCTTTATTTCTTTGTTGTTTCATTTCCACTCTCATTCTTTAATTTTGACAATTAATTATAATTTCTCTTTCATTTTGTAATGAGAAACCTCCAGATAATTCAAGCCCATTCTGAATTGCAACTATACATTGGATTAGATGTTGATTCCATGGCACATGAAATGGCTCAAGCTCAGATAAATGCCATCTTAAATGCTAATTCATGCCGCTCAGGTTCAAATTTAAAAGCATATACACTCCTGAGAAATTTTAAAGACATCAAGTCTGTTCTTCATGGAGTTGATGGAGAACTCTTGATCCATGGAGTTGATGGAATCTTAATGGACTTGGGAATGTCATCCATGCAGGTTTGTCTTCTAAACTACCTTGTTCATTTGTTTGCCAAGCCCATGACTTCATGACATACTAGTAAAGGTGAACATGCAATGCAGATTGCATTTAAGGAGAAAGAAGATTTATAGAAGAAACCCGTATAATTTTCTATATGTAGAGAGACCGAGTCGAATGGGCCCAAGTGATTTATGTTTTGTTATTATTGTTTCTTACTTGTGCTTGGTTGATAATGGGCCTACTAATTCTTTTTTGCTTCTTTTAAGTATCATTATGAGCTGGCCGCTCACTTAAGCAGAATTGTAACTATCTCTAATTAAGTGGGATTAATAAAATTTTAGAGATTAAGGATAGAAGACATTGAGCTTCTTTCTCCTTCTCCCTTCTCCATCTTCTTCTTTTCTTTTCTTGCTGTACCTCTTCTATCTTCTCTTTTCCTTGCTGAAAATTGAGATTATTTGCAAGTTTATTGGACTGATTCACATCTTGGTATCAGAGAACCTTGTCCTTTCTTTTCTTTTTTTTATTCTTTTTTCCTCATACGTCCTTTGAATATAAGAGTGTATGGAGAGATGAGTTGCTGATTATTTAGAGAACATTTGTGTCTAGTTGGTAGAGGGTTTGGAGAGATAGAATTTGGTTGTAGATTGCCAAGAAAGTGAGGTTGCTGTTTTTTTTTTCCCAAAATCCTAGTCGACTAGAGAGTTCACAGTTACAGGTTAAAGAGATAGTTTTAGTGTGGCATTCAGAGCTTGGGGGGTTTCTTTTGATCTCTAGAAGTGGGCAACTGAAGTTGGAAAGAGTTTGGGAAGCTCTATTAGGAGCAGTTACTCTTTTCCCTTTTCTCCCATTTAGCCGGGTATAGTGAAACCCTAATTTTGGGACCTATTGGTATTGGATTGACCCTAGTTATGTCCATAGAAACAAAAAAAAAACTTTTTTTTGGATTTTCGTTTGGTCAATGGAGCAATCTGGAAGTGAGATGAAGCAGACCCCAGTGTTCGGGCTTGGTCCGAAAGTTTCCATTTTGGCTGGAGTGGTAACAATTATGCTAGATTGAGCAAATTACTTACCTTGGGCACAAATCATAAGGATTTGTGCTTGTAGTAGAGGTAAACTGGGGTATCTTTCAGGCAACAAGAAGAAATCGGCAGAGACTGGTCCTACATATGAAAAATGGATGTAGGAGAATTACATGGTGATTGGATGGTTAGTCAACTCTATGCAACTTCATATAAGTTAGCATTATCTCTAGATGACTTTTGCTAAGGAAATTTGGGACAGTGTTATAAAAACATATTCTCAGAAATTGAATGCTGCAAGAGCCTATAAGCTGAAGAATGATGTGAACAATTTGAGACATGGGAGAAGAGTATAGCTGTTTACTACTCTATGTTGAAGTCATTGTGGCAGGAGATTGATGTAATGGAGACAGTTGTATGGGAGAGCACCAGGGATGCAGAGACATTCAGAAAACTAGTAGAAAGAAACAGGGTGTTTGAGTTTCTCACAAGACTCAACCCTAAGTTTGACATTACAAAGCAGATTATTTTGGCCAGAGATGAAGTAACCCTTGCTCAGGCATATTTTATGGTGAGTAGTGAAGAGAGTAGGCAGTATGTACAATTATAGGGATCACCTCCAAAGCATTTTGCACATGCTTCGATAAAGCCAAAGGGGCCGACTAAGAAGAAAGAGGTGATGTGTGAATATTCTAAGAAATTGAAACATACTAAGGACACCTGTTGGAAACTACATCCAGATCTTTTCCCTGAAAGGTTTCAAAACAACAACAACAACAACAACAATTCAAAGAAGAATGGTTAGATTGGGAAGCTTAAGAATGCGAATGTTGCAATTGTACCTAAAGGCAGAAATAAAAACAATGAAGAGAAGTCTGCTATGTAGCAGTTCGTGGTCATAAAGGCAGAATTTGAAAGGTATGGGAGACTAATTAATCACTTGGAGACTACAGTTGCAACATCTAACTCCTCAAGCAGTAACTCTTCATCTGTGTTTGCTTACTGTATTTGTGCTTTTGCAAATCATACTACTATTTCAGGTAACCGTAAAATCCCTTGGATTATTGATTTTGGAGCATCGGACCATATGACTGACATATCTAACTGGTTTTGTTCATATCAGCTCCTTTCTAGTAGAGAGAAGATATCCCTTGCTAATGGGTTTCTTGCTCTCATCTCTAGCAAAGGAGATATCAAAGCCCTTGACTCCCTTGTTTTACCCTCTATTCTTCATGTTTCAAAACATAACACCAATCTTTTATTTATTAGTAACTTAACTAAATCTATGAATCGCAACATAACCTTCTTTCCTACTCATTATGTTTTTTAGGACCTGAAATCTCAGAAGATGATTGGGAGTGGTCATGAGGCGAATGGAATATACTTGCTGGATACACTTAATGGAAGTCTTGGACCACCTCATGGAGTAGCTTTAGAGTTTATTTCTTCAGTCTGATTGATAGAATCATGAAATGTCATTTATGTTTTGGTCATTTGTCCTTTGCTTTGAGTTGTTTGTTTCTAGAAATGTTTAAGGGAGTCTCTTTGTCTAGTCTTCATTGTGAGTCATGTGAACTTGCAAAACATTGTAGACATTTTTATTCAGTGAGTAATAAAAGATTAATTTTTCTTTTTCATATTGTGCACTCTGATTTATGGGAGCCATATCATATATCTGCGAAGGGGGGTTACAAGTATTTAGATGTGATTTAGACCAATAAAAAATAGTAGAATAATATATATTATAGCAAAAGAAGTAGAGAAGAAGAAGATAGCAAGAAGAATATGGAAGAATGGAGAAGAAAGGAGAAAGGAGTTTGATAATCTCTTATTTTCCCCACACTAATTTTTTATTAATCTTACTTAAGTTACATAATTTACAAGTCTGCCCTTAAGTGGGCGTCCACCTCATCATCATACTTAGAAAACATAAACAAGAGTTAAAGGCCCATAAAGAAAAGGCCCATTACGAACAAATAACAAGAAAGAACTAATAAATAAGACACTAATGGGTTAGAGCCCATTCAGCCAAGTCTCTCTACACTCCCCCTCAAGCTGAGCATAGATATCAATCATGCCTAGCTTGCTTATATAGCGAACTAGATTTACTTTAAGAACACATTTTGTCAAAACATTAACCAATTGTTCTTCAGAAGCAACAAATGGTAGACAAACTTCTCCTGAAGCAACTCTCTCTTGTATAAAGTGCCTGTCAACTTCTATGTGCTTAGTTTTGTCATGTTGAACAAGATTATGTGCAATGTTGATAGTGGCTTGGTTGTCACAATATAACATCATTGGCTTCTCATAGTCTATACCCAGTTCTTCTAAAAGTGATCTCAACCACAAAAGTTCTAAAACTCCACATGCCATTGCCTTGTACTCTACTTCAGCTGAGGATCTAGCCACTACAGACTGCTTCTTACTATGATACAATGTTCTCTATTACCATAGCATAGTAACCTGAAGTGGACCTCCTATCATCAATACATCCAGCCCAATCAACATCAGTGTATGCTTCCAGCTTCATGTGTCCATGCTTAGCAAACAAGATACCTTTCTCTGGAGTCCCTTTTAGATAGCACCAGTGTTTTAAAAGCCGTGGGAGGCGTACGCCTAGAGGTGTGCCTCCAAGCGAGGCGCTCCCAAAACATCCTGAGGCGTATGCTAGAGGCGTTGACACCTCTGAGACATATGCCTCTTGCACTTTTTTCATGAGGCGTGCTAGAGGCGTACACTTTATGTGCCTCGTGCACATCTTATATAAAAAGACAGAAAAAAAGAAAAAAAGAAAAAAAAGGAAAGGAAAGGAAAGGAAAAGAAAGGGAAGGGAAAGAAAAAGAAAGAGAAGAAAAAAAGAGAAAAGGAAAGAAAAGAAAAGGTAAGGGAAGGGAAGAAAAGATAAGGGGAAAGAAAGTGGTTTTCCCCTTGCCCTTTCGGCTAGGGAGCGAAGCCCCCCATACCCCCCCCCCCTTTCAACTAATGTTAATGCATCTTTATTCTTCTTAATATAAAAGATTTTTATTAAAAATAAAGTAAAAATGAGATCCCCCCTTACTCTTCATCCTCCTCCTAACCCCCCCTCCTCTTAAGGAGGCTTACACCTCCTTGTGTTCGGGAGGCTTGTGCCTCTTGCGTTCTGAACTACGCCTCACACCTCTAGGTAGTGGAACACCTCGCGTCACGCCTCCGCATTTTAAAACATTGGAGAGCACAGAACCCTCTCAGCCGCTGCTAAATGTATATCTCTAGGAGAATGCCTAAACTAGCTAATTACACTAACTGCATAGGAAATATCTAGTCGATTCATGCAAAGGTATAATAATTTCCCAACCATTGGAACACTCCTCTATCAGTCAACAGTTCACCATCAGTAGTTGATAGCTTATGATTTAGGTCTATAGGAGTTACATGTATAGAAATAGAGGCAAGGAAGGAATAGTAGGAAGGGGAAAGAAGGTTGTAGGACATGTGTTTGGAAATGCAATGAGCTGTACATTTCCGTTTGCCTTTGCAAAGAGCAATAGGGAGATCAAGGTCAGGGAAGGTATCCAAAGTGGTAGAAGAGGGCTGACCTGCTACCTCAGTGGTGATAGGAGGTGCAAGAGGCTCATCTGAAGATGTGGAAACAACTTGCATGTCTCTGAGTTTCTATCTCTGGTACCACCTTTGGATAATAGGATGGGAAGAAAATGTGGGAGGAAGAGCCAATAGAGGACTCAATTAGTGGAGACTCAATAGAAGATTCAATGGGAATTGGAAGAGGGATAGATGGTGACAACGCAAACAACTCCTCTGAATGTTCCCCCTTAGGAAAAGTACCAAAGAAAGGAACAAACTCTGCAAATGTGACATCTCTAGAAACAAGGCTGCCACGAACCGGATCAAAACAGCAATACCCCTTTTGTGTGGAGACATATCCCAAGAAGACACACTTGTATGCTTTAGGCTCAAACTTATGTCTTTGATGGTTGTGAACATCAACATAGCAAGCG